CCTTTACAACTATGAAGACACAGGATTTCCTAGTAAATGTTGGAAATGTGCAGAAGTCATAAGAAATCTTTATAACTTCAGAACCTTTTCAAAAGTCATGGTATAAAATGAACTTTTCCAGAACTGAAATGTCTTCTGCTCAAACTATGAACTGGGTGGCTGCGCAGAAAACACAAAAGCTTTGTTAGTTGCTGTAATTAAAATAGCTGGAATATTACAATTGAAGCATTTGTGTTTAGCAGTGTTTTTCAAAGCTGTTAACTAAAAGCTTGCTGAAGTCTTCTGGCAACACAGAAATGAGACTATGATGTCAGTATGCCAACTTCCCTTTCAATTCTAGATCCTTCCATGGAAAATGCTAGTACTTGCTGAATTCCTCAGCTAACTACAAATAAGAATTCCACTTTCTAAATACGTATTTTTAATTTTGCTGCTGTAAACAAAGGTACTCTTTTAAGTGAACCAAGTGGTATCATGGTCTAAAGAAGACATTTTGAAATTTAACTCTATTGAACTGTATTAAAATCTTGCATTTGATTAAAAAAAAATTATAAAGTGAGATCAATTGAAGGATCTGCTGTGGGACTGGGTGGTAGATGCTGGAGATGGAGTTCTGTGTGCCAGACAGCTCTGGGAACAGCCCTAAGCAGAGAAGTCCTAGGACAAAGTGGGAACTACCTGTAACCTTAAAATGTATAACCACCTGTAGAGAAAGCTCTGTTTTCCCCCATTTCCTCAATTTAACAGGGTTTTCCAGGACTTTGGGGTATTTAGTACCCCTTTCCTTTTTTTATGAGATGAAATTTCCTCCCCATCCAGTTCTTCATATAACTGAACAAAGTAGCTACTTCCCCTGCCCTGCTCCTATGAATAGCAAGTTATTTTTGTTAGCCTGAGCTAACAAAAGTGGAAATAGCATATAATGTTAGTAAATATTTTTAGAGCAGGTCAAGTGAGGATCCAGTAACTTTATAAACGTTTAATAGTTGTTTCTTATCTAGATCTACTTCTTGCAGTATGCTTCCTATTTTTCTTACTTGCTTTCTAAAACCCACTTAGACTTTCTGTTATCCTCCTGATGTAACCTCCAGGTAATCTGCAGGAGGAACAGCAAAATAATGTCATTTTTAAGGAATGACTTAAGAGTACCAATTTCAAGTTGAAAAAAAATCCTTTTATTTTCTAGGTTTTGACCCTAACAAAGAATTCAGTGTATGAGATAAAAATGTATAATGCTGTCAGAGGGCAACAGAATGTCACCCTTCATTGGCCTTTATCAGCCTATATAAGCATTGCACTGGTTGCAGCATGTGAAAGGAATGATCACTGCACAAAGCACACTTTAGAGTATCAATTATATCTATGAGAAAATGAAGATGGAAGGAGGAGTAGGAATTTGCCTAGTAAGTTAAATCCAAATTGAATTCAGTAAGGCAGTTTTACATCTGTTCAAGTGAGCCTGGAAGGGAATGAATTTCTCATCCTTCTTTCTCTACATCTTGCAAAGTACAGTACCCAGCTGCAGATAACTGGATACATAAAGCACGTTTTTATTTTTTGTTTTTATTCCCTTGGTTCTGCATTTCATTTGCTACATGTGCTACATATGCTTAATTTACCATAATGATTTTGAAGATCACTTCCACCTAAACAAGGAGTTTCTAGACTTCTAGACTTCCCCAACAACAAGAACACATACTAAGGTTGGATAACTTTCATTTTGCTTAAATTTACATAATTAAATAGAGACCAAATCAGGAAAAAAACCAGAAAATTCAAGGCATTGAATTATTATCTCTGACATAAAAATTAGGAATAATTTTGTTGAATTAGTTTCAGTTATGTCATTTTCATAATGTCTCAGATTCTGTAGAAGTGGAAAATTTCGAATAGGATTTGTCAGTAGATAGTAAGGTTTAAAACTCCTCTCTTTGACAGGGGTAAAGTTAAGGGGTGGACCCTTTTCCCTGATAGTCACATAAGCCTGTGCCAAAATAGAAGGATAGAAAAGACATTTCCTATGTAGGAAAAAATAAACACTGGAAATAATTTGTGTAATTTAATATTAGTGTCATTTTCAGATCTGTGTTGTGTGAAAATGAATTTTTTCAAACATCTATCAAAGGTTCACCTTGAAAATACAGATCAGAGACAAATATTATTAGTTAGCTCTGTTCTCCTTTCATTGCCATTTTTCTTGTGAATGAGCCCATCAGATTGTCTCCTTGGTTTTGATTTTTTTATTAGTTTAATATTTGCTTGAATAGGTGCTAAATTCTCTGATCTATTTTTATTAGACTCACAAGAAAGCTTCATAACTCCTGCCAAGAGCAGATGAAAACATGGAGAGATGGACATGTGTTTCTGCTTTATTTGTGTTCCCTCCATTTGATTATCTGGGACCCTGTGTCTAAAGAGTAGTATAATGCCATGTAAAATAAAAAATGATGACCAGTATTCATATTCACTATTGGAAGTATGAAATTGTTTCATTGTGGGCTGAAAAAATCTCTTATCTACTACCTTAACTCTCCCATTATGGTCCACAGAGCAGCCTGCTGTTAAAACTGTGTAGTTCAGTCAAAGCCATGAAAAGTTTTGAGTATAATCCCTTTTGCTTTTGTACCACCATTCTTGTTGCTTCTGTCATTTCTTAGGGGTTCACCTTCCACACCAGTGACTTGTCCATGCTTTATAACGCTCCTGTTCTGTTCTCATCCAGGAAAGCTGCTGAGCATGGGAGATCTTTTTCTGATGGTCTCTGGATCCATGTACAGCTGCAGACACCCTATGAGAGCTGGAAGGATTCCTCCTGTATGAAACTCCCTGGGATTCAGGTCTCATGCAGTAGGACTCTGGTCTAGTCACTGCTGTTTGTCGCCATCCTCACCACAAGATTAAGGCTTTTGTGACTTCAGTTTTCAACTTTACTTATTTTTCAACATTTGTTAAAATTTGGCAGCCATTTTTTGCCGTCTATATTTCTACCTTCAAATAGATGATTTAAGGAAAATCATAGAAATTTACAGCATTTGAAAATAACTGCTATGTGTGCTGCTAATCAAGCCAGGGTCAGATTGGCATAAGTACTCAGTATATTGAATAATTCTGAAAAGGTGACATCATATAAAATATCTGCACTTCTCTGACCCTGACACTGTTATTACAGATAAAGTTTTGGGACGGAAAATTCATTACAGCCATGCTGAATAATCCTGCTAGAGGGCTGCCTTAGGCTGGTTCTGTCTTGATCTTTTCTGATGTGTATATTAACAGAACATTCTATTTTCTACACTGTCATGGATTATTTGTAAGACTTCTGCAGGTACAAACCTACAGTTACAAACTTAGGGGTTGAATTAAGCATACAAATGCAAGGCTCTTCATCAGAACAAACATAAGACAGAAAAGTTTTATTAGTTTCCTGATCTGACACATTTAAGTTCCAGTTGGTGAATAAGTTCAGCTTTGAATGAAATTCCCCAAGTGGATCTTTATAATTTATGTCTGAAGATGCCCAACTGGGAGCCTCTTGGATATTTAGCTAGTTTAGTAATCATTTGATAAATGTCAAAGGGTGAAGGCAGCAACCCAGTCAGCAGGGCAGAGAGCCAACAGGGCAAAACAGAAAACAATGTAAAACTTGTAACTCGTAACTTGTAACCCCTGAGTACCCTCTCCAGACAGACATTTTTCTTTTTCAAATGTCTGCATCAAATCTAGGAATTCCTTTGGTGTTTTGTGCTCTACCAGAACATATAATGGTTTGTGGTGTTGACAACTCCAGTCAAAACTGCATTTACAAGAAAAATATGAACAACTCTTCATGCACAGGTCACATTCTGTGTGTAAAAGTATGGAGAGTTAAGTAAAGTTCAAAATACAAATATGTTTCACAAGCCAGACTTCTCATCCGTGTGGCTGGACACATCTGTTATGAATAAGAGGTTCCATAAATCATTGAAGATGGGAAAAAACCCATTCTCAATTCTCTCAGAAAATGCATTTAGACTCTTCGCATTCAGTTAATGATATAAATTTTCAAAATTCTGTGTCTTTATTGCTGCATTGGTACATATAAACATGCGCAGTGGTGCCTGGTGTTTGTGGTTCTCAAATCTCTGTTTAGCTCTTGGCATTTGAATTTGATAGAAAAATTTGAATAAGAGGGAGGGATAATAATGATACAAAACACTAAAGAAGGAGTGTTTCTGGCTGTCATTTTCTTATACCTTTATTTTTAAGAAGTGAAAAATAAATTTGCTAACAAAAAGCCTGTCAAAAGAAAGAGTTGGACAAGTTCTCGTGAAGGTCACAGAGGATACACAACATTTCATCTTCTTTCTTTTGCTTTGAGCAATCCTGCAGAATGTGGCTTGGCCTGTGAAAAAGGTCTGGCCTTTCTGCAGGGCATCAGGCAATATATCCATTCAGGCTGCTGGCAGCACTCCTGGGGCTTCATAAGTCGTGTGTCCATTTAGTGAAAACAAGCTTATCTAAAAATGGGAATTTCGTCTTTTGCTTTTTCATTAGTCCATTCAAGAAATGTTAGAGAAATCACCCATCTCTTTCAAAAAGAGCTGCATTTCATTCACTCATCCCATAATTGGGATGAAGAATAAAGCCATGAAATATTTGGTTAAATTATGACATGCTGTAGAATTCAAAAACCGTAACTCTACCTTGTAACCATCTGTTTATGCTGAGATATTATGGACTTACTAAGATAATACTGAAATTAAAATCCTGGAGGGGATTCCTTGCTTGAAACTGGCTTCTAAAAATGAATTATCTTTTTCTTTTTGTATGTAGCTCTGTTAAAGAAAGAAGGGACAAAGAGGGAAATGTTTGGAAAAGTTAATTATACCAAATACTGGCCTAAGAGATATTGGTACATTTTAGTATAACTATTCTGTTCATACATCCCACAGATTAGTCTTCGAAAGTTGCTAGTAATCATGGTTTTTTTAGACATTGAAACATCAATGTAGAGGTATTACCTGAAAGCATTTATCCAGGCTCAACTCTTCATATGCTGTGCAGGACTCCAGTCTCATAAGACCTTAAAAGTAACATATACTTGGTGCAAGCAGAGCTGTCAAGAGACTTGTAAAAAGAAAGTCTCAGAGCTTAGTGACACTGGAAGTTCTTTAGCTCAGTAAACTGTCAGCACTGAACACCATTTAAAAGATGTGAACATTGGGAAATATTTTACAACTGCTTAAAAATAAAACTTTTTTGTGCACTCTCTTTAGAGAAATGTGAAAATACAGAAAATTGCAAGGTGGCCTCTAAAGAAGTAATCAAAGCATACCAGTGTTGTCTACAGGTAATTTAAAGGTAATTTTTTTTAAGTACATGTTTTTGTTTCCCAAAATTCCTTAAATGATTTGATACATCTTGTTTGAGGCTGAGATTTATGTAATGCCAATAATGTTCTGGTTTATCTCATCTGAAGAAACAAAAATTGGCAGTTAAATGTGTTTTGTTCTGTAGCCATGGATGCCTCCAATCAAAGATGTGTCAAAATGTTTTTCAGCTTCCTGAGTGCACAGCAGAGAATGGAAACATCTATTATTCTGAAGACAGCAATGAAGTACAGTAGCAGTATTTGACAAATTTAGGAAGAAAACTGCACCACGTTGTTTGAATTTTTAAGTGAGAGCTCTTGGACACCAATTAGTTTACAAATGAATGGAAAATTAAAATGACTGCCTGTCCCTACTAGTAATGAGCTGCATTTTGAATTTCCCATGTTGAGTAATACAACAATAAGATGTTAAGGATTATGAAATAAATTTTTCCACCTGAAATAGATGCAGAATGCTGGCATTGTGATTGTATTAAATTTTAACTCAGATACTGAGTATTTGTAAACTTCTTCCCATTACAGATTTTTACATCAAGAATCATTCTTGTGAAAACTGTACTTAGAAAGCGACAACTGATTTTTAACATTTTGCTCATGATAGAAAAAAGAGTTTCTAGATCTTGAACATAAATATAGAGATGACTAAATAATATAAATTGATAAAATACAAATCATGTGGTTTCCATTATTAGAGTGAAAGAGCCATTAATCTTAAATTTATGTTCCGCTGTGTTTGCAAAATAGATAAGAAGGGAGCTTTATCATATCTCTTCATAGGATTTTGGAGAGGTTACATTCCTCAGCAGTGTCTGGGAACTGGCAGAAATTAGGCACGTGGTCAGTGTCAGGTCTGTCTTAATCAGGACTTTGATCAAAGTGCTGTTACTGCAGAGCAGAACTCTGTCAGTTCTAGACCAGTACATCTGCCTTGAGCAGGATGCTAATGTTAAAAAACCAATAATTAATCACAACTTGCAAGGATTTTTTTTTTTTTTGAGACATATCTACTCAGCTGGTAAATTAATTTGGACCACTTCTGGTTGGTAACTACTGCCCTAATTATGAGCACCATTGCAGCATTTCCTAGCTGTGTGTGGCTGTCAAGCTGAGGAAGAGGAAGGAGGCATGGTCCAGTACTAACATCCGTACAAAAATCAGAGCCGGACATGCATGCACGCTCTGGCTTTTCTATTTCATTACTAGTCTTCCATAATCACTGGTCATTTTAGAGACACTGAAAAAACACTATGAGAGCAGTTCAGGCTATAGACATAGACAATATAGAAAGACAATATAGAAATTTAGTATGAAACTGAACTAGTTTCATTCACTTCTCTGTCCCCTTCACTGCCATCCACATAACAGAACTTCTTTAGGTTTTACCTGTTTTGGGAAGAAGAATTAAAAAAAGGGTGTGTTTTGCCTAGGAAAAAAAAAATACCCAAAAATCACCAAAAGGTGTATTTTTGTCTTATTGTTATTTATAGCCACTCTTGACAGAAGCATTTAAAATAATATAAATGTTCTTTTCCCTTCAGCTAGCACATAAGAGCTTGAAGAAATTTCCTCCATTTACCATTGTCAGGCTCAGTGGGAGTCTGAGTTGCTGAGCAACCATTTTTCTTATTTGATGTAATTTATCTTTTGACTAATAGAAAGCACTACTGATGCATTGACTAGAGAAAAAAAAGCAAAAGAACAGAAACTACTAGATACTGAATTGAGCATCTATATTATGAACCAATTTTGACATAGAAATAATGAAAATTCATAAGTAAAAATAACCCCTCCTTATGAATTTTATGTTTAAAGCTTACCTGCCTTTGAAAACAGTGTCTTGTTCCATCAGTGTGCTTAGGAAGATTTCATAATAGTGCCTTGTTGGGTCAGAACACTGCCTGACAAACAATAATGGGGAAAATCATGTAGGCATTTACATATGTTGAACTTGCATACAAGTTGCTAGTAAATGTGGAATATTACTGATATTTACTAATTATATTACAAATGCCTTTAGAAGCCCCCTCAAAGTCTGCTAAGGCACCCTTGAGGAGAGGAATGGGGAAACAGTGATGCTGTGTGATCACTGCTATGGATCAATTCCAGGTATTTGCAGGGCAAACTGAGCATTTGCTCAGAGAAATTAGCTGTTGTGGTCCTCCTGACTGCTCTGCTTTCTTGAAGCTATGGGAAATCGTGAGGGTGGAGGATCCTGGATTTTGCAGTGTTTGCATTTTGATGGGTAACATTCTTGTCCAAGGAATTCACAGAAGCAACGACTTTGCAAAAAGGGAAAAACTATTTTGATATAGTCCTGCTCCGGGAAAAACTATACCAAGAATGAAATGATAAAAATGAATGGATCAAGAAAGATTTTTTTTTTTTTTTAAATTCAGCGTATGTGCTCTGTTGAGCTGAATCCATGACCCTACCTCCCAGAGACACATAAATTTATACAGCTGCCAACAATTTGCTATATTTCTGTCAGCCAGTTCCCAGGGTGTGGCACAGCCTTAATACAGAGCACAGATTTCGTATCTCAGCTCTGTGGGCTGATGTAACCCCTTTGGACATGCAAAAGAGAGAGATTTAGTTTTGCAAGATCCCAAGACTATCTGTTTAGTTGCTGATTCATGATTGTTGTCACACAACTTAATCATTGACTGTGAGCGATGACTGGGAAAGCAAATTTGGAAATAAAAATTTACTTGTGGAAACACAGAATCAGCTTCTAAAGAAGGTATTCTGGTTTGGTGGTGGCAATTTAATCTTTCATCGGACTCAGTGGTGGCCAGAATGACAAGATACAAAGTGTGAAATATGGAGGGCAACTTACAAACTTACTGTGGCAATTCTTAGATTGGTGTAGTGGTTTGATAAATGCTTCTGTCCTTTACTGTTCATAAGTGTATGTACAGAAATTGTTAATAGTCACTGATCAGCCATCTGAAGAGATGTTCTGTATTTGTAATAGGGTTGTTATTCAATCCAAATTAGCTTAATTTGTATTTCTAGTGGCAATCCATCAATTTGCATTAATTTCCTCTGAGGGCAAGGGAATTTTCAATCAGTTTCATTTTTTTTCCTATTTTCTTCTTCTTAACACATAAAAGAACTTCAGGTGGTTTGGTTTTGTTTCCTTTTCAAACTAAACACAAAACATTTTGGATAAAAGCTTTGCATCTAGAAAATTCTGGTTTCTAATGAGTGTAAATTACCAGAATAAGAGACCTATCTCTTAGTAAGCAGGACCGTTCCATGAGCTCTATTACCTAGGACTTTTTACTGTGAACAGAGGCTGAGACTAAGAAATTATAAATTTTTTTTTTTTTGAAAACTAGATTAAGATGTTTGATCATTTTTTTATCCATATTTATCATATATATGATATATATATATATATGATCTATATATTATATCATATATAATTTGGCTATTAGAAGCCAGGCTTCAGGATAGACATGAATGTTGCTGAAAAGGATGAAAAATATTTTTTCATGTGTGTTTCAGGATATCCTTAGTAGTTGTTACTTGGATAACTTGTGCTAAGTCACTTGGATAACTTGTGCTTTATTTATTATCACTGGTGATTTAATCTTGAAACTGTTGTTTGGAATTAGAGCAGCATGAATTCAATTTTAATTTTTACTTGCCAAGGTAGTAAGCAGGAATAGAAATCAGCTTATCATATAAAAACAGAAAATGTGGGAAAATCCACTAAGTCAACAAATAGTAATTATTAAGAAAGCAAAGACTTTATTCCTGTCACCTGTGGTGACACTTAGAGAGCCTTTTTTTTTTCATGAAATTAACTCTGTGGGGAAAAGAGGAAAAATGCTGAACTTCTCTAATAAGTAAAAATGTCACGTCCTTAACACATACAAAAAGACCACAACACTGACTCTAATAACTAAAAATGTCATGTCCTTTACACATACAAAAAGACCACAACACTGAAGAGAATACTCAGCTTAAGGACAAGGAAAACATATTCATCATTCATATCCCTCCTAAGGAAGCTCTGCTATAATTGCAGTTCACACTAGAGTCAAGCCCAAAATAGTACCAACAATGGAAGTGGACGCCAGTGTCACTTTTTCCCTTGAGCATACAAAGGATCTGAATGCCACATAAAGCAGGGCACTGAAAATGTAAACTACAACCATGGGATTTTGTGGGCTTTCATCTATTCTTGTTCTGCTCTTGGCAAAACTTTAAAGAAAGGTTAACTTATATCTGCATTTATGTGTGGGTAAATAGGAAAAATGTGCAGTGATGTTGATAGCATAATTTGGAATTAATTAAACTGCATCTTATCAGTAAAATACCCTTGTTTTTGCTTATTTTGGAGTGGCAAAGGTGCAGGAACTTCCTGCTGGTGCTTTAATCTTTTCCAATAACCAGTCTGAAGTCCTGTTTGAAAAGGGTTAAATACTTGCTGAAGCATTGTACGTGCACATTTCTATCCTCATACATTGCAGTATCTATTCCCTGTACAGACTCCAGAGATAAGGAAGTTAAGCTTTAAAGGAATATGTTATGTGATCCACAGGAATTTAATGGTCAAAAGCACTTCTCAGATCATCCTTTCTTGGAGCAGCAAAACTACATACAGCCCCAGAGAGTTCTCAAACATATTGTTGGGAGCTCCTTCACTGGATGTGTTCTTACAGCTGCCCTGGGAGCAAACTGTAGCCTACAATTCACCAAACTATTCTCGTTATTCTCCAAATATTACTTTGCTAAGAATTATTGGTACCCCATCGGTACCAGTGAATGAACCTGAAATTTGAAGGGCACTTGAAAGAGTATTTTCTTTCTGATGTAGGCTCTTAGATCTTGGAAAACAGGGATAATACTGAAGAGACATGAGGAACTGAGTGTTATGGAAGTTATCTGTGAGCCAGTTCAGGTTTTCACACATCCTTCAGCCTTTTCTCAAATATACTTTGCTGTCAGCAAGAGAGCAGAAGGACACTGAGATTAGGAATATCCCACTTAGATGGAAATTTGTTTTATGTGTGGTTCCCACTAAGCAAAGACCAATAGGCTGGAGAAGGCACAAGTGCATTGCTGAGAGTTAATCTGAATTAGGTCACAGAAAAGAATTTTTAACATCTAAAGCTGAACTGATGTTTTATGCTGAATGATGGAAGTTGGAGAACTATAAAGGAGCTTGTGTTTTACTAAAAACTGTGTTGCCCAAGAAAACAATAGATTGTCAAAATGCTCACGTAGATTTAAACCATGCTTTTACTTGATATTATCAAAGAATAAAAAGGTCTCCAAGAAGAAATCACACTTTTGATAATAAATGTAACTTCTCAAGGAAAATTCATTTAATAATATTAATAACTGAAATCCCCTTCTAATTATAAAAGTACTCCACTAATAACAGTAACCTTGAAAATCAGAAAGATGACCAGCTGATATAAATTGTCTCATGTATATTTTAAAAGCTGTTGTGAAATCAGGCAGTGCTAAAGGAGAAATCTCTTTCTAAAGTTCTTTCTAAAGAATAATATTTTCATTTAAAAGAAAAGGAAAAAGGCTTTGTTTTGAATTCTGAAATGTTCCTTGTTCGCACTGAAAAGCTTGGCTCTGGCCAGCAAGGGAATCACCTACAGAAATGCTTGCTTAAAAATGCTGTTACCAATATCAATATATTTCAAAAGGAATACATTTTATTAATTATTTAAAATTCATGTTGGTTTTTCATTAAGTCTGTAGAGCAGAAAAAATTGTGGTCAATCAGCCTCAGCTTGTGTCATTCTTTATTATCCAATAAGAGCAGACAGTAGCTTTAAAATAGTAGAAAATAAATATATAACTAGGCAATGCATTTCTTAGCTATTTGAGGCCTTCTTGCACATTTCCATGACACAATGTCTGCAAGTACAATGGCATAATGCCCACTGGGGAAAAGACTGGAATGCTATTTGTTCCCAAAACTGCATTGCCTTGTAAGGGAAAAAGCTCTGACTTGGCAAACAGTTTCCAACCTTTCACTGCATTTTCAGATAAAATCAGGGTTGTCTTATTATTTTTTTAAATTTTTAATTCAGTTTTTTTGATGTCAGAGGATTAGGGAAGGAGAAGTAAACGTATTTCTGTGTCTGGTAGTACTGAACACCAAGGAGATTCTTCCTTTCAAAAATCTGGAAAAGTTCATTTCTAATGGTTAATAAGCAAGCCATGCCAAGAGTTATTTCTTAATTTATATAAATAGTTACATATTTAAACCTAACAATTACTTCAAGGCCAGTAATAAAATGCTCCCTGAAGCTGCATTAGTACAGTGTAAAGCAGAGTTTCAACGGTAAGAAAAAGCCTACAGTCTAATGCTGGGTGCTGCTCTATAAATGTTTACAGGATAATAAACACCAGGCTTAATTGCATCGTCTGACAAAATATTTATTAAATTCACTGCAGCTGACTAGTATTGCTTCCAGCAATTCCAGAAATGGCCTTGTAGGAAAGAGCTGAAAAATTTTATACTACATTGATTGATATTGCCTCTGAATTTAGATCCAAAGTAACTGCTCAAGCATTTGTTAAGTGCTTGACATGGTACTCCTTGCAGGAGCAGTGCCCAAGGCCTAGGAGAAAGCCAGAACATAAGTTAAAGCATCATCTAGTTTGTTGGTAGGTTAGGATTTTCAGAAACGTTACTTGAGCAAAAAAGAATTTAGCTAGACTTCCTTTAAAACAGACTCCCCCTTTTCAGAACTCCTCTTTTTATGGCAAAGGGAGAATTTTAGAGATTAATAAAATTCCAGTGAAGAGGGAAGAGAAATGATGGAAAATGGTTCATGTTTTAAGAGTAACAGCAGGTCAAAAAAACAGGAGCAGAGGGAGATTTACCCAAGATAACAGTGCTAGGAAGCAAACTGAAAACAAATAAAAAAGTGTGATTGGAAGACTGAAAAATAAATTTAGTAGAAAGGTTTCTGACCATTAATTAAAGGTAAAGTCTCAGCTGTCAGAGACATGGATTGTGATATTCCTGTGAAGCATGAAAATAAACCATTGGGCTCACACCTCACCTCCTGCCTCAAGTGGTACACTCTTTCCACCTGTGCAGGCACACAATATCTTCAGACTTTGTAAGTCAGCAAAATGGTCTCCATTTTTGCATGAAGAGAAGACATGAAACAAACGATTGAGATGACATAAGAATCAGCCAGACACAGAAGCCTGTAAAAAGCTGGTACTTCTTTAGATTTACCTGTCATCATTGTCAAAAGGTGGCATGAGTCCTCTCCTGGGTACACCTTGGGCAGTGTAGTGCTGCTGTAGGCTGCAGAGGGTGTGTCTTCTATACTAAAGTCACTCTGTATAGATTTGAAAGATTTCTGTGTAAATAAGGAGTTTGTATGATTTTTCAGTGCTGCTTCGACATCTGCCAGTGCACTACTACATAGAATCTATCATAGTGCAGCAAACAAATAGAAAGTTCTCAAACATCTCAAGGTCTACAAATGCTCAGTCCTATACCTTACATGTCCTTAGTTTACAGCCACATGATGTAAAAATAGCCCTTGAAAAGTTTGGCTGATGAATCGGTTCAGTGAACCAACACCTTACAAAGGGGCATACAAAATCTTTATTATCCATTTTTTCCTAATAAAGGAAAAACAAATCTTTAGGAAACATCTGGCTTCCCAGAATCTTTAGGAAGTCTATGGTTAACTCCCTCTATAGCAGCATAAGAGGTATTTGTCAGCTTGAATAGCAGTATTTTAATAAAGCAGTAGACATCATCCTGCTCAGGGAAATTGCATTGGCAGATAAGACACTCATGAAAAATGGATATGTTTACTCAGTGGGCCTAAAGCTGCTGCAGATGGGAAAATGGGGTGTTAAATAAGTGTGCTGACACTGAGCAGGGTGAGCTGATACTGAGCACAGTACAGAAAAACTCCAACACAACATATAGCACGAGTTACCTCCTCTGTTTACAGCTAAGTCTTTGAAAAGAAAACACCTGAACTCAGCCCTACACAATTATATATAATGAATACAAAAATAAGTACAGGTGTGTTGGGGGGAGAAGGGGTGGGATGCTGAAAAAGGGCATTTTCTGATTTTTATCCAGAAAGCAACACCTGCAAAGCTCTTGACTTTAAATTATATTTCAGAAGCTTGAGGAAAATGCTGACTTTTTGGCAAGACAGTCTTTTTTAACAGCTGAACCAGGGAAGAAGTTCCAAAAGGCGTTTCACTTCTGGAAGGATACCTACAGCTGTTTGATTCCAGCCGGACTTTAGAAAGATCCCGGTTTTAAGATGTTTGCTGCCATCTAGTGCCTTTATTTCTAGTGCCTTGGAAAAATGGCAGTCATCGTTCACAAAAAACTTTAGAGGATAAAATGGGTATCAGTACACTATTCTTTAGCTGCCACTACAGAGAAATACAAACTAAATTATGATTTGCATAATTCAGGGCTTGCTTGGTGTAGAACCAGGATGGGAGGTTGGTTGAATTGGTAACAGCAAGGCCCTACTAATGAGTCTTGGTTTATTTCAGTGCAGTTACAAGAAATATAATTTTTATGTACGCTGGAAAGGGATATTAGAACTTATATTTCAGTTTCAATTTTTCATATGGTTATGGGGGAAAAAAACTCCTATAAACAATCACTTAAAACCACTGCCTACCAGCTGAATTGAAATGAGGGTGCCTTGCCACAAAATATTGTTTCAATGTCATCCCCTATTACTGTTATTTTGGTCATAAACAATTTTCCCTGTGTTCCCCTGGTTCAGTATTTGGCAGCTACCAAGTCTTTTCTGAATATGTGTCAAATGTATCACATTTCTGGAGAGTGAAAACACTCAAGTGTGTGGAAGACAACACTTTCAAACTCTGGACATATATTTGTCTTGGGCCCATATATTTGTTTTGGGTCCCTACTTCAGAGGACGCAGTTGAGACATTTAGTGAAATGACACAAAACCATTGGTTTTGTTAGGTTAAAGAAGTATATCTGTTCTCATTTATAGGAGTATTAGGCTGTCTTTGCATATATGAGTCCAGTGAATATAATTTTACAGTTACTGTAACAGTAAAAATTCAGTAACAGCTCTCCTGTTACACTATAAGATCAGTATCTATGGCCATAATTTATAATTCAACTGCTTTTTTATTAAGTAAATTAGAATTCCCAAATACTTTCAAAGCCTTGAGGGTTTTTATTTAGAAGTCTTGCTATGGCAACTCTTAAATCTAACCTGAAAATACTTCAGACACTTGTAAATTTAGCAATACACATTACCACTATCAACAGTGCAAAGCTGTAAATTACTTGGGCTAGGAATCTTCCTGTAAGTATTCTTAGTATGTAATAGAATAATTGATAATACAAGGCAGGAAGATTTTCTGAAGAATAACTGAAATAATCTCTGCTTATATTGACTGTTAATGAGGTGAGCATGAGAATCTGAGTATAACATGGTGCCCAAGTATGTATGTAAGTACAATAAACATGAGAAATCAAGCCTTCAGGGATCAGTCTGGAACATAAAGAGCTTGAAAAGGATGGTATTCAAGAGGAGTGTTTGCAAGAGGAAAATAACTGTCCCCAGGTGTCTATACAGGAGAGTATACATGAACCCTGGAGGGCTATGGTTAATGGGTGCCACTACTTCAGTGAAGCTCTTCCACTAAGACCAGTCATGAAATAACTTTTCTTTGATGAGGTCATGAAACCAGTAATGAAATAACTTTTATTTGATGGGGTAATAAGGTGAGCAGTCACAGTATTTTATACAGAAGAGCCATGAAAACAATTCTGTTGACCATAATAGACTCATATATCAAGAGTAAACTGGGTAATAAAAGCAATTTTACTGAATAGAAGTCCTTTGTCCTGAATCAAATGATCACTGTTACTTTGCATTATTAATGCAATTAGTGTATCTTATTACTTAGTGCATGTTAATCTAGATTTACAATTAGAGATTAATTTTTCATATAATGAATTTCTATTTTTGTAAGTCAAAGCTGTTCTAGAGTAATGACACATGCAGAAATACAAATCACATTAATTGGCAATCATTTGCCAATGATAAGGGTTTTTTAACTGGTAGTCCTTTCCTGTGTACTTCCACTGATCAGCTAACAGATCAGATAATAATTTTATGGTTTGGTTAAAGTCATTAAATATTGAGAGCAATATTCACAAATGCAGTTGTAGCCTAATTTCCCTTCAATAAGCATTTCTAAAGCTTGCATGTTCTTCATGTATGCTTCTGAAGTTTTATTGCCCATAGCTTTGGGAAATGTTTTAGTTTCTCAATTAAACCTCAGAATTTTGAGAGAATACCCTTGCACTGAGCCAGCCCTGGTAGCCCATGGATTTTGTCTTAACACAATATGCTATTGACAGAATGAGCATACCCTTTATTTGTACTCCTATTCAAGTTTGAAACATTTAGAATAATATTACTTTTGTGGGTCAGCCTACTTAGATCTGTATAACTTCTATTTGTGCAGCAGCAACAGTTTTGAATGAGGGCCTGGAGTGCTATATATATCTAAACTTATCCTTGCAGATTTGGATTAGAGCAGGCTTTGCTTTAAGTTGGTCAGGAACCTTGCTGCTTCGCAGAGTTTGTGCAGATAAAGGCATGTGGATGATAACAGAACTTCAAAACTGTAGCCAGAGCAGATCCTGGGAACTTCTGTCAAGTCTGTCAAGATTAGGCATTGCTGTACATGGAATCATCATGGTGAGGACACACCTTTAGAGAGAGGGTAATATTTTGGGGAAAATTAGCAGATCAGATGGTCCTGTTAAAGATCAGATTCTACAGCTTTTCTTGATGTATAAACAAGAAGAAGATGAAGCACAAGTTTTGAGAGTCTTTCTAGTGTAACTGCTATCTAAATACTGTACATTCTGATTTTCAAGCATCTGTTCCCAATCAGTTATGAACACCAACATGCCCCTTTTTGTTAGGATCTCTGCTAGTTGTTTAGAAAGTCTGAAAAAAGGTCTTTGAAAGAGCAAGTACTTTTTCCTAGGATGAGATTCACACTTAAAGGCTGGGAAAAAAAATCTCCCGATTCCAAAACCTACCACTATTTGTTATAAATACCCAACTTCATATTTTTGCTTTCAATTCCTTTGGTAGACCATTGCAGGGAGAATAGTAATTAAACCTTTCTCTGAAATGCTATGCTGTTACATTAGTTGGTCATAATACTACAAAATTGCCAATCCAAAAAATAGAGGGAGATTGAAGATTATAATGTGCAAGTGCAAGGCATCTAAGGGGCTCCTTTATCCTCTTTATCTTTCCCATGAGAACAAGTACTTATTTTCATCTCTGACCTCCTTCTGTCTTTGTGTATGCCTCTTTCTCTGCACACAACCCACCCCTAAACCTTTTTCCCTATTTGACTGATCTAATTTATCAGATTGTTGCATATTTGACCCACAAGTGTTTGAATTAACCAGAGGTTTGTCAGCTTTGCAGTGGTCAGTCAGGTACTTCCCATCTGGAATAGAGTGAAAAAAATGTGGGAGGGACATTTCTCTCTCTGTACTATTTATACAACTCTTAGTTCCCCTGGCAACTTCTCTAAAAAGATACCTTCTTGACTCAAAAATCCATAGATGAGAGAATGCCGGGATGATTCTCTCCATTAAAAACAATTTATCAGAATATATATAAATTTTTTTGTTATCAATTCTTACTGTGATTTGTTGGAAGCCTGAAACCAAATTACTTTAGTATTTTGAAAATACCAGACTAAACTATTTGAATCTAACCAGGTGTCTAACCAGGATGTGCAGATTCTCTCACTTATATTTAGGAAAGCACCTGGTGTAGTTTCTTAAACCTCTGCACTAGAGATATACAATGGCAAAAATGTAATTCACAAATGAAAAAACTCAACTTCGAGTCACTCCATGCCTTAAACCAGGCTATTTTATTAAAATAGCTGGCAACATTCAGTGTTTGGGAAAACTTTACTGCTTCAGAAATAATTCTTGAACAACAGCCAGTAAGCATCTGCCAGTAAGCACCTGCCAGTGCTTTTGTCGAGAGGAGCATTCTAACCCATTTAAGAATAGGACTCACTGATAATCATTCACCTCAAGCATCTTGTTTATTGTGAAAAGTGTTTCAAGCAGCAAAAGAGGTACCCTGGAGAAGAAAATCCGTGCCAAGCTGGGGGTCACAGCCCTGCAGCAGCCATATGCCCAGGTTCCAGAGACACAGCCTGGGTTTGTGCCTGTGGCGCAGGTGGATCCCCAGACCCATTTCTGGCGCAGGTTTCGAGCCAGGAGGCAGCTTTCTGTCAGTAGTTCTGGCTGGAACAGGGTGACACAGGGTACTGGGAAGAGGCAGCTAGGTGTAACTACTGCCTTCACAATTTGGAAACCAAACCAAAGAGTCATCT